TGCACATTGTCCGACGCCTGCCACGCAAAAGAGGCGGAGCCCAAGGGACGCCAGGGCGTACATCCGACCCCTTGGCAATGCACATTGTCCCACGCCTGCCACGCAAAAGAGGCGGAGCCCAAGGGACGCCAGGGCGTACATCCGACCCCTTGGCAGTGCACATTGTCCCACGCCTCCCACGCAAAAGAGGCGGAGCCCAAGGACGCCAGGGCGTACATCCGACCCCTTGGCAGCGCACATTGTCCCACGCCTGCCACGCAAAAGAGGCGGAGCCCAAGGGACGCCAGGGCGTACATCCGACCCCTTGGCAGTGCACATTGTCCCACGCCTGCCACGCAAAAGAGGCGGAGCCCGAGGGACGCCAGGGCGTACATCCGCCCCTTTGGCAGTGCACATTGTCCCACGCCTGCCACGCAAAAGAGGCGGAGCCCGAGGGACGCCAGGGCGTACATCCGACCCCTTGGCAGTGCACATTGTCCCACGCCTGCCGCGCAAAAGAGGCGGAGCCCGAGGGACGCCAGGCCGTACATCCGACCCCTTGGCAGTGCACATTGTCCCACGCCTGCCACGCAAAAGAGGCGGAGCCCGAGGGACGCCAGGGCGTACATCCGACCCCTTGGCCGTGCACATTGTCCCACGCCTGCCACGCAAAAGAGGCGGAGCCCGAGGGACGCCAGGGCGTACATCCGACCCCTTGGCTGCTCACATTGTCCCACGCCGGCCACGCAAAAGCGGCGGAGCCCGAGGGACGCCAGGGCTTACATCCGACCCCTTGGCTGCTCACATTGTCCCACGCCTGCCACGCAAAAGACGCGGAGCCCGAGGGACGCCAGGGCGTACATCCGACCCCTTGGCAGTGCACATTGTCCCACGCCTGCCACGCAAAAGCCGCGGAGCCCGAGGGACGCCAGGGCGTACATCCGACCCCTGGCATGGCACATTGTGCCACGCCTGCCACGCAAAAGACGCGGAGCCCAAGGGACGCCAGGGCGTACATCCGACCCCTTGGCAATGCACATTGTCCCACGCCTGCCACGCAAAAGAGGCGGAGCCCGAGGGACGCCAGGGCGTACATCCGACCCCTTGGCAGTGCACAGTGTCCCACGCCTGCCACGCAAAAGACGCGGAGCCCGAGGGACGCCAGGGCGTACATCCGACCCCTTGGCTGCTCACATTGTCCCACGCCTGCCACGCAAAAGACGCGGAGCCCGAGGGACGCCAGGGCGTACATCCGACCCCTTGGCAGTGCACATTGTCCCACGCCTGCCACGCAAATGAGTGAGTGAGTGAGTGAGTGAGTGAGTGAGTGAGTGAGAGTGAGTGAGTGAGTGAGTGAGTGAGTGAGAGAGTGAGTGAGTGAGTGTGAGTGAGTGAGTGAGTGAGAGTGAGTGAGTGTGTGTGTGAGTGAGTGAGTGTGAGTGAGTGAGTGAGTGAGAGTGAGTGCGTGTGTGTGTGTGTGTGAGTGAGTGAGTGAGTGAGTGAGTGAGTGAGTGAGAGGGAGTGCGTGTGTGTGTGTGTGAGTGAGTGTGAGTGAGTGAGTGAGAGTGAGTGATGGAGGGAGGGAGGGAGGACGGGAAGGAAGGAAGGAGGAGCGGATACAGAACTAAAAACAAAAACCCCACACGTCAATGTGGGGAACAAGTATATCCGATTTTTTTGAGTAGAAAAAACAGAACCACCAAAGAAATTCAACATCAAAACAATTCGAAACATATTCAAATGCCTTTGGATCTTGGGGTCGCCAGGGTACAATTTGCAGGTCCACCGCCTCCATAGAGAGGTCGGGTTTTGTCCCCTCACTGGCGTGGAAACTGGTTGTGGACACTTTCAGACCTGGCGCCATCGAAGGCCGATGACCCCAAAATCCCACGGATTGCGAAGAGCGAAAAACTGCGCCCAGCAGAATTATACCCAAGGATACCCAAGGCGCAAAACCAGTTTCGCCGAGACTAAAGTCTCTAAAGAAATCTAAAGAATGTATATTTTGTGTACTGCCCATTCGCTGTATCAGTGGGCACCAGATGGGCACCAGAAAAAACACGAAAAAAAGTGGGAAAAAAAACGAGGTTCCATTTCCAAGAAAACCGTGGTGATTTTTACGCACAAATCTTTAAGACTGACGCAATGACAGACTCAATAAATCAACCCGTCAAAAAAAATTGGCAATCCACACAAGAAATAGCAAACCACACAAAAAACACAAGAAAAAACACGAACAACGGCACAAGCAACCCCCCCAAAAAAAAGGACGCAAAAAGGCACGAGCAAACCAGATAAAAACACCAGAAAAAACACGAAAAAAAACACCATGCAGGAAAAACACCAGAAAAAACACGATAAAAAACACGAGAAAAAACACCAGAAAAAACACCAGAAAAGCACGAGAAAAAACACCAGAAAAAACAACAGAAAAAACACCAGAAAAAACGCCAGAAAAAACGCCAGAAAAAACACCAGAAAAAACCCGAGAAAAAACACGAGAAAAAACACGAAAAAAAACACGAGGAAAATCCAGAAAATAAAAAGAAAAAACAAAAATTGTGATTGGCTGGTGTTTTTTCTGGTGTTTTTTGTATGATTTAATAGGTGCGGAGGCAAAAAAGCACGAAACAAACACACCAGAAAAAAACACCAGAATAAGTGAAAAAAACACGCAGTCAACTAAAGAGGCCGTGAAAAGTCATTGATTTGTTCTCTCTGTGCATTTATTTCCGCGCGTCAAAAATATTGAACCTCGAAATTTGGATTTGCGTGCCCGGGGATTAAAATTAAATTTAGGGTTTAGGGTTTAGGGTTTACTTGAGGAACAGAACATCAAGCATGGTGAGACATGAAGAACACCTCCGTCCAAGCAAATCGTTTCCAACAAACAAGCGCGCGTCAGGCTGCCGACCGAAAACGAAGCCCCAACGGGAGAAGGCATGAGACTGTCAGGCTATCGGACAAAAAATGCATTTTTCTCCTGAAACTAAATCATAAGCAATCTTCGCAAACCAACAGCATTGCAGTGACATCCAGAAATTCATTGGTGTGGACAGTGCTACACATAAAATACAACATGGGATCCAAAAGGGAAAATCCAAAATGTTGCAAACCCAGAATCAAGTACACAATTTGAATCAACTCTTTCCAAAAATTCCTCGGAATTGTGAAGATTGGCAACCAAGAAAACCTGATTTGCCTGTGCTCCTCCAATGTTTTTTCTAAGCAAGGAAACCCGTTACTGGCTGTTACAGGCATTGGGTGGCACTCAATGTATATTAAAATAGTATTATTTTCACTATACATCATGTTTCCCTACTTTTCGTTGCGTCTTGGCTACCACTACGTCTCGGGCTTGCATCCGTTTTAAAACCCGAACAAACCATCCTCCACAACTGCGGCACCGCGCTGACTGCGTCAACAGTCTGATTGACAGTGTCCACCAATACCAAACTCTTGATCGTCAAATTCCGGGCTTGGATCCTGAGTTCGGCGATCAAAATTGATCAGAAGCAAAGAAACCAAGCGCACGGAATCAGAAGTTTGAATAGTACCCTGCTGAAAGCGAAATAAGCCAGCATTATGCCAGCATTTGAAAAGATGGGACCCTCACTGCCCATTGCGAGTTTCCGTCAGGGGTAAAACATCTTTCAATTCGGGAAAGCCAAGTCGGACCAACTCGTGTGGTTGAGAACTTGAATATTCTCAGGCAGTTCGACAAATTCACCCTGTGGGACCTGCGTTTTTTCTTTCAATCCCTGAGTAAGCTGTTCGATGTGTTCGATTTCAGTTGCGTTCTGTTTTGTTCTCACTGCTTAAGTAACGGCATGGTAATACATAGTCCAACCTGAAAGGCGGCACAGAAAACAGCAGACTTTCTTTCCAACCCCTTACCAATCCCTGAGAATCCTTGTCTTGAAATAGGCCAAAAATAGCAATGTATCCAAAATCTGGATACATGTCCAATGTTCCCAAAATTTGGATACATTGTCGGGATGGACCATGTTTGTCGGAAACGGGGGCCATGTTTGTCGGAAAAAGCGCCTTTGATGGATTTTTTTTTGGAACAAGTGCTGTCGAAAACCAACATAGTTGCGAAATCCATAGATTAGTGGGGTATTTGAGTCGGGACAAACCGTGACGGAGCGTGACAAACCGTGACAAACCGTGAAGAACCGTGACCCGTAGACCAAAAACTCTACTTAAATTGGAGACATTGTCCGAAAATAGCGTGACGCACCATGACGCGCCGTGACGGGCTATGTTGGAATTTGTGTTCACGCAATGAAGTGGTGAACAATGTGAGTCGTTAATTGATGAAGAACCCCAAGGTCGGTTAAAAGTACCTTAGGAGTTGTCGGAATAGCCCCAGGGTTTGTCGGAAAATGCCTTGTCTAGAAATGTCTTAAAATAGCGCGTCGGTAGCCAAATTTCAGGTACGGAATGCCCCAGAGCTGACATCTAGAAATGTCATAAAATAGATCATACTTTGGATTCACAGGGAATGAAGTGGGGGTTTTGTACCAACAACCCACTCTCATTCTTCGCTGAAATCATTGATTTGAATCTGTTAAGCAAACGGAGTGCAAGTGCGGTACGTTTTGACACCGTGGGTTGAGCCGCTGAAGTAAAGGTTGCAGACATCCATGTCTGACTGTACATGCGTGACATGAAACTGTTGAAATGTTGTAACACCCCACCTCGAACTTGGGGTGGGCCAGTCACAATTTTGCACTGGCAGCTACATTGGTTTCATGTCCATTGCCACTGAAGGTTAATCAAGAGGAATGGGAAATCCATGATCTTGATGAATGAACCACTGCTCGCAGAAACCTCCAAAACAATCCAAATACTTACCTTCAGTGACAATGTCCTGAAAAACACGATATTCATGCTGCTGCCTATGGTCCCACCACAGTGGGTAGTCCCAAATCATGTCAGGCTGGTTTGGATAAAGGACCATCAAGTGACACAGGTAGAATTCTCTCAGGTTTTGCTCTGAGAACAATGCCACCTCATGAACGCGTTGAGCCCGTTCACGTTGCAGCCTTGGGAAGTGCTCCTCAGTCACATCCAAGTTGTTCCAATCCAAACCAACACGAGGTAAATCTGGAAGTTCATCAGGTGTCCCAGGAGGGGATCCAGGCAGTTCCACTGTCTCGTGCGGGACATGTGGTTCAGGGCCTCGGTGTTCTACCGCAGGTGAAAATCGGTTTGCACCTGAGCATTCACTGCTTCATCTTCAGTCTTGTTCTCCTCCTCGGCATTCTCCGCGGCATACTCTGGATACAACTCAGGGTCTAGGAGGATGCTTGCATCCAAAGGATCCAATCCAGCTCCTCAACTTTCAGACGTCGTGCTTCATGGTGAGGTCGCACATACTTCGCCAGACCTGTTTCCGTCTCACGGAAAAATTCTTCTCCAGAATTGCATCTCGCGCATCCGCCAAAACACGAAATTGCTTCAGCTCTTGGTTCACCGGGTCCCAGTCATCCACCAAAGAGAGTTCGCGTCGTCGCCGTAGACGTCGAAGAATCCGCATAGACCATTGCGTCATGTGGACCACCTTCTCGTTGTAGATCACCTTGTGGATGAAGAAGCCAATGCACATGCCAATCAAAACAAAAAACAGGGTGTAGAGGACCACGAAGATCTGGTTGTTCATGAAGAAGTCGAGGTACACATACTTCAGCTCCAGCGCTTTGAACTCCGCCATCTCCACATTGAAACCATCCACCATTGGCTGCATAGCCAGCAAAGTCATCAGCTTGACCATGGGCTTTGAGACTTGAGTCTGAAGACCTTCTGCACCGTCGCTGAGCGTGTTGAGGATCACTTGTCGAACCACCTCCATGTTCTTTCCGAGGGCTTTCTTTTTCATCTCTTCGTTGAACTCAGCCTCGCCAACCGGCACATAGGACTTGGTCGCTTCATCGTAGACCACCACGCCCATGCATGAGGAGCATCAAAAAGGACCTGCGAAGCTTCGAAAGCTTCTTTGCGCCAATGTCCCACACATTCAGGAGCGTTGCCACGCCAGTCATGGTGAGCATGCCAAGTTTGACACACTGCGGTAGCCAGAGGTACTTCGTCTCAATGTGTTTGAGCCGTCCCACTCCTTGGCGTTGAGCGAATGCCCTGCAGCTACTTGAGTCTGTTGCCAGAGAAACTTCTGTTTCCTTTCTCACAAGGAATGACCATAGCCTTCCGATGTGAATGCCTTCGGCTCCTCCACCGCTGCAGCAAGATACTCGCTTTCGCACGAACTCAAGGCAATGCTCTTCTGGGAGCGGGACCAGCTTGTCTCAGGGCGTCCATTCAGAAAAATGACTCGCAAGACTTTTCCACAGGCCAGAATGAAGTACCAACGATGCGTTTGGCCAAGGACATGATTTGCCCAGGCCATGAGAGCACTCGATGAAACTGAATGCATCGATGCCACTCCCCCTGACTTCAAGCCCGGGAGAGGTGGGTGGGAGGCTTGAGAACGTCAAATGGCGGCCCGATACAAAGTCAATCACTCCATCAACCACGTTCAAGAACAGATATGACTCGCAAGACTTTTCCACAGGCCAGAATGAAGTACCAACGATGCGTTTAGCCAAGGACATGATTTGCCCAGGCCATGAGAGCACTCGATGAAACTGAATGCATCGATGCCACCCCATTTTTAGCCAGCATTGGAGCCAGCAGTCTGTTTTGCTGTGCCATCTGGCATGAGCCGCTTCCAAAAATTGTCTGCTATCACTTGGGTATGCCAGTCCAAAAAAGCTCGAGCTAGTACTCTGCAAAGCTGATGAGGATAAGGCTCTGCAATCTTAGTCATGAACTGGCCATTGGAGGAAACACCCATTAATGGAATGTGCGGCTGCTCTGTGAAGGCACAAAAACCCCTCTTGGACCCTTGGCAAACATGAGATTGTAGATGATCAAGTTGGAGGCCAAAATAAACAAAACCAGTTCTCTTCCGCCAAGGTTTGCCAAAAGCACAAAAATCAACATCAACATGCCTGATACCCTTCTTTCGCAGCAACGCCAAAACAGGAGGGCAAAGCCAAATCCGTGACGTGGCCGGATTCTCCAGAGCGAAAGGAATGTTGAGCAAATAGCATAACAGGCAAACTTGAACAGAAAACCGCATGAACAAATTGCCCTCTCTAACCTTGACCTCATCTTTCTCATCCAGATTGCTAAGTCCCAGGGGTTGGTGATCTGAACGCTGTGGTGGAGGACCCGGTCTGCGATCTCTTGCACGTGAAAATTAATTGTGTGGAGTGCCCAGATGAACAGCCCTAATGTTTCCAGAACGTATCCACCCTTGTTTCGAGTAAGATTCCAAGCCACAATCCCAGCCAGCAATGTCTGAAACAGATTTGGAGAGGTTCCCGCTACCACTAAACGATTCCAAGAAAATAGGACTTGTCAGTTTCGACGCAAGAGTAAACGCGGGTTGGCAAAGACCTTGTCTATGTTGTCTGCTGCCCAGCCTGCTTGCTCCTGAATGTCTTCGGGGAGCTTGGACAACAGCTGTGCGATCCGGCCGCCTTTTTCGTATCGGCGGACTGACGTTGTTGTTCGCCATCGACCTGGCTTCTGAATGTCTGCCAGAGCGCGGTGTCCTTCCCAAAAGTCTGTTGATGCCCCCCCGTGCCTCAAACGATATGGATCCAGAGGCCCCAACTGCTGGAGTTGGCATTGGACCGCATGTCCTGCATCCACTCTCGAAGGGTAGACGGAGTGAGCTGAAACAACAGATCCTCAGGATTGAGGTGACGATCTAGGACCATGCGTTGCAGTAAAGGCACAAGAAACTGGTGGTGGTTCAAGTCCTGCACCACTGTCTCGTCGAATTCCTTGGTCTTTGATGGTTCTCCTCCCTCGAATGGATGAATGGATGAAGAGCCACCACCAGTTTCTGATGTCTCTTCCGCAATCTGGCCACTGGGAACACCACATCTGAAACCTTGATCCGGCAAATCTCGGACGGCCTCAAGTACATGACGAAACCTACCAACAGGGCCAGAGCAAGTTGCAACTTCTGCTGGACAAGGGGCCAGCCCAACAGATGCAGAGATTGTCGAATGAATTCAATAGATTTCCTCTGACCCAAACTCAGGGCAGAAGACAAAAAACAAGGGTTTGCTTGAAACTTCTGTACATCACCACCGGCATACAAGGCATTCAGAGCTGCAATGGTGTTCTGCACCTCCACTTCCATGGCAGTGTTCCGCAACAAACGTAGAGCACAAGACCTCGAAAGACCCTGACGAAGCTCACGAGATCCCACAGCCTCAAAGGGGAGTGGAAACAGATCCCTTTGCCGATGATCATCTTGCCTTGCAGAAAAAAGGGGCAAAGGTCCCTGGGAAGCTGGAGCCCCAGCCAACTCCCCGACCCCTCTAATCAGGGGCCCTCCTCGCTTTGCGAGCAGCTTCACGCTCCTCGCGAATCTTCCTCATGTTCTTCTGCAATCCCACCTCCTTTTCGACTTCAGCCTTCACATGATCGAGGAGGCTGGGGTATATCATTAACGTGCCAGCATGCCTAACCAGCCCACCAAAGATCTGCTGCTCCTCCAACGAAAGGCGACCGCCCACTGAACGGCTCTCAGATTCACGAGCACGCTCAGAGTGAGCGTACTCAATGGTCTGAATGCGTCTGAACATGACTTCCACAAATGCCAAATTGAATCCATCAAGCTGATCGATCTGCAAAGCATGTCTCAAAGTCATGGACAACTGAAAATTTTCTTGACCCCCCCAACTGTTGGCTTCCAATCGACAGAGGGTTCGCATGCGTTCATGGTGGACCTCAAACACAAGGCCTTCGATGCTGAGGTATGTCACGCACAACTTCGCAGTCCTGGGACCAGGCAGGCTCCACTTAACCTCAACCTCTCCTTGCATAGAGCAGCTATGTCAGTAAGCGACTGTTCTGGAATGCCCACAGGACGGTATTTGACTGCCAAAATGCGGTGATCACAAGCAGAAGGTACGACGTCGACCCATAAATTCATCAATGCGACTACCATCAACACACTGAACGAAAATAGAGCTCCCATCAGCCATAGTATGAACACTCCTGGCGCCATCCACAGATAAGGCAACAACTCCTTGAATTGGATCACCATACTGAATGGATGAGACAGATTCAGCCGCTAACCATTGAAGCACACCCGGAGTGCGTACAACTGCACTAAGAACCACAGCTGCTGCTCCCACAGGAGCCACAGCAGCAACAGGTTGGGCAGCCACCACAGCTGCTCCACGTCTGGCGGCAGTTTCAGCATTGACTACTCTCTGGGCTTCGGCACGGAACCCAGCCAAATCAGCTGGACTATATGCAGGCAACGCATACACATCCGCAGGATTGACACCCGGGGGAAGAATTTCAGGGGCTGGCCTCACACGAAAACTTCGCAACTCACTGTTGGTCACAGCCATTTCCTCGATGTATACATCACCATCGGGGGTCAAAACAGCATACTCATCACCAGACAAATGTTGCAGGATCAGGCGCTCATGGATTCCCCTACGACCTCCCACATCATATTCCAGTAGTGCTATTCCATCGACTAGTGCCATGTCTTCGGAGACGAAGTTCCGCTAGCTGCCATCGGGCTATGTCTTGAATGGATGGAGAAACCGGCTCACTGCGTCGGCGCCACAAAACCCAGGCCAGCACTAAGCTGATGCACCAAGAAATGATAGCAGCCAACCACAGAATTGATAACTCCACCCCGCTAGCTCCACTCTCAGACCCAGAATCACTCTTCGCCCAAGACCGGCCACGCGCAAAGGCGGTGGTAGTGATGCTCAAGGTTGAAGTGGGTTCCGGAAATCCAATTGGAAATGAGCTAGATAATGGCTGACCACTTGTTGGGGCTTTCAGGATCTTCTCAACAATGGAGGTGGTAATCCAACTCACAACAGCCAACCATTAGACGCTCCCATTGATCAAGGAAGGGGGGACAAAAGGCTTGAGAACGTCAGATGGCGGCCCGATACAAAGTCAATCACTCCATCAACCACGTTCAAGAACAGATATCATAGCAGATGAAACTGAATGCCTCCTTCGGGATGAGCAACTCGATTGGTCACCTGCCCAATCCGAATCCGTGAACGCCTCCACCAGCTCAGAAGTTGTATGGTTTGATTCGCGCCCATAAACTGAATCCAGTTTTCCACCAATCACCTTGTAGGGGAGCAACATGCCATAGGTTCTGGTGCCTGAAAGGTACAAAACAAGGTGTCGAACTCCTGCTTTTGCAAAACGTGTGGGCTTGGGCATCCATTGGGCTAGATGTCGCACGCTGTGTTGGATGTCCCACCTGTCAGCGGACAAATAAAACAAAGTTCAAATGGCCGATCGAAAAAATGAGCTTCATTGTGAAATGTCGGGCGTAGGCTTTGGCTTGTAGCCTTCAACTTGAAACATCTTGATGAGTTCGTCCACGTACTTCTCATGCGGGGCAACCACCACGCCTTCAGTTGTGAAAAAGCGCCTCTTCTTTAAGAAGCGAACTGCATCTTGCGGATCTTGGTCCGGTGCAGGGATCACATCCCCACCTGAAATGGTGAACTTCTCCTTGATCCTAGAAACCAACGACAAAAGATCACCTTGTTCTCCACAAAGAACCCAATCATCTACATGAGAGCAAAGAGCTACTTGACGTGTGCGATGCCGAAACAGGCTTGGCACCAAGGGTGTATTCTCCATCTCCAATTCCTCAAGATGCTTGCTCACAAAGGTGAAGAAACGAGCAGCGGCGTTTCTTTGCCCAGGCAGGCACTTCCCTAAAATCCAAACGCCATCAGTGCCATCTTGCACTTCTTCCACTAAGACACATTTTTGTTGATCTACCAGGAGAAAAGCATCCTTGATGTCCACAAAAGACAAACACCATCCCAAATAGACATGGAGCAGCAAAATCAGCCTGCTTCCAATTCCAGCCGTGGGAGCAAATGTCTCGGCCGTGTTCTTGGAATAGCCCTTGAACTCCCTTGCCACATACCTGCACCTCCTCTTCCAACCACCACGGTTTCGCCAATCATAGACTGACCTTGTTGTGAGGAGAGTGCCACGTTCGCGCACTTCAGGCGTTGGTTCACGCAAAACCTTCATGTCCAAAAGACGGCTGATCTCTTCAAACCCGGCCGCCTGATCCACAATCTCCAGCTCGCTCTCAGAGAGGATTGGGGGATGTTCATCTCCAACTTCTTGAGGTTCAAGAAATCGCCGACATCATCCTGAAACTCTTCATCACCAGACAAAAAATCCAAAATCGAATTTTCCCAGCTGTCATCATCAACTTCACCAACCACCTCTTCAACCTGTAAGACACTGCCTGCAAAGCTCGGTGGGAAAAGCCCTTTGCCTGAGGGACTTGATTCTGGGCCCCTGGGCTAAGCCTTGGAGCCTTTGACAGGGGTTCCTGAACTGGCTACACCAGGCCACCTTGGTCTCCACCATCTTGAAGCTTCACCGTTTTCCGTGGAGAAAAACTTTCATCCTCAGCCTCTCGCTTTCGATCTTGTTCTTCTTGAAGTCCATCACCCTCATCATCAGTGTCATGGGGGCGTCGCTCTGCATAGTCTCGAACATCTCGAGCATCATAGTCGATTGTCTCTTCATCTTGACCTTCTGGTTGAACATGGGTCACAGGCTTTGGTGTCACAGTGCCACCAAACGTGAGGGTTCTAGGGACCCTCTTGCGTGTGCTTTGGTAGGGCTTGTCCTTCACCAAGAAAAGCCAAATGGGCCTCCATGCGGTGGACGTGCGGAGAATAGCCTTGCCCTTGGTGATGCCATCGCACGTAGCAACCACATGGAGATCTTCTTGTTCAGTATTGCCCAACCATATGCCAGGCACCCATTGAGGACCCTGTTTCACGTTGAGGCCACGACGATGAAGAACCATACTGCTTCGCCAAAGCAAGCCACTTTTCCAGCATAGCGTCGTCCATTGACCAGCTCAAGGGCTAATCTGAGTCGAAACTGGGCAGTGAAAACGATTCAAAGTCCATGTAGAACAAAGATAGCTCCAAAGGTGAACTGGATGTTCAGCAGGTAGTCTCAGCTCACAACGAACTTCTGCCATGCCCACCAGTGTTGAGGCTTGGGGTCTCACAGTCTGAATAGCCCTCTCAACTTGGGCTGTTCTCCCTTTTTCATTGGGCGCACTGCTCATCAGGCTTTTCATTGTAGGCTCAGAGTCACCTACAAACTCGACCTGGTCCGTATAGTTCAAAGCCAGGGAAAATTTGACCAAGTGTCCAGCTTGTCCATGCAGATCAGAACTTTTAGACTCCACAGGGTATGAAGTGACCATCTTTGTCCACGTGTCAACTGCCACCAAAAAAGTAAGTGATGGCTTGTCAGCCTAGCCTCAATCTTTCCATAGGCATAGTCAGCTTGAATGCAAGTAATTGAACGCCTTCCTTCTGGCACGGGATCTAAAATCCTCTGAGGGTCACCTCGGGCCTTACATGCAACGCAGTGGTCACACCAACTTCGTTTAGGAAGGTGAGTCAGCTCATGAAGACTGCGCTCTTCTGCTGTTGGTGCTCGAGGAGTTGATTGTGGAACCAAACCTTGTGAACTTGTTCATCTCGGTACAGCTGGTTGGCAGCTGAAAACATCAGCTCATGTTCATGTCGCTGTACTGCTTGATTCAAACGATCCCATAGTGCCTTCTTGCACCTCGAGAAATACCCATGAAAGAAGCACATGATCGCAGCATCTCCAGTGAGCTGTTCTTTGTCACCACGTTGCCATTCACCACCGAAGAGTCCTTGTTGTCAAAGCTCCATTCCATACCACCAGCATCATCAGAAGAGAGAACACCGCCAGGATGTGCTTGAGCCAACTCTTCAGGCTTGAGGCCTTCTTGAAGTTCGAGAGGAACCATTACTTCAGGTTGAAAAGCAAAGTTGCTGGCATCAGCATCAGCGCCACTGGCTTCGACTGAGGCTTCATCATGAAGAGCTCCAAGAGTTGAAAGGGGCTCCTCCTTCTTGTGCAGCATGGTCAAAACCATACAGGGCTTTCCATTGCATTCCATGATCTCCTCCTCATAGTTGATCTTGGTGAAATAGGGCACGCACTGTTCCACAACCTCCCAAGAAAAGTCAGGGAGTTGGATCAACATGGATCTCCTTGGCCACTCGCTCCAGGGAAAGAGGATGTTGGGGCTCAAATCCTTTGTGCTCTCTGGAGTGACAATTAAAAAAATGCCATTCTCAGTCACAGCTCAACCACGTCGAAAGATGCGGTCAGTGAGCTCCTTGCGGGGTTGCACCACAGTTTGCACCACAAGTTTGTAGGGCTTGTACCCCATACCACCTTCTTCATCATCCTCCTCTTCAATGCAGGTCATAGGGCACGGCACGACAGTGATGTAGAAGCAACTTGATCAGGAAGCCCAGGACCATCATCAGCCATGTTGACAACCCTGATGTGTGCAAAAACCGCCAGGCTATTGCGCTTGAATTGCAAAGGAATCTCACACTGTCGATCTGGAGCTAGAAGACTGACTCCAGCAGGGGCATCAGGCGTTGGTGTCATTGCCATCCTCTGTGCAAAAGACGGCCAAGACTGACCAGAGGACACCTCACATTCGAGACCACAAAGTCGTCCTCGATGACCACCAAACCATTGCCACGATCTTCAATCTCGATCTGTGCTGAACTTCTGCCAAAAGTTTGAAGTCGACCACCTTGAGCATCCTCCAGGACTGTCCTGGAAAAAACGTCGACCTCCATCTTGTCCACGATCAGCCATGCTATAGGGCAACAGACTGATGCCAGCACCAGAGTCAAGGACGATCAGTTGGCCATCCTGCAAAGGCACAGCTCTGACATGGTACACAACCAACTTGAACTTGATCCATTGGGCTGTTTTGATCATCATACCATTTCATCAAACCATCATTCTCTTCTCGCATGCTGCCCCAGAAACTTCATCATGGGCAGCCATGTTGAAACAAACCGTGGAAACCATTCTCATACTGTACCAATCTTCACTTTCTTCCCCATCACTCCTCAGCTCATAGCAAGTGGGTTGACTTTGGGGAGGAGTTGCAACATTGTACATCTTGACCATTCTAACCTTGGAAGAAGACTGTGAAGAAATTGTTGATGCCGTACCTGCCCTTCTGGGAATCGAAGAACCTGTTGAGCTGGCACCATCACCACCAACTTGTCCAGCTTGTTGATCTTGAGCCTAAGATAGATTCACCTGGTTAGGGCACTCATTTCCCCAGTGACCAGCTTGGCCACAAAGACGGCACACATTGTTGTTTCCACCATACCCTTTTCCTTTCTGTTTGCCTTTCTGCTTGCCTTTGCCTTTCTTTCCTTTATGTTTTCCTTTGCTCTTTGAGCCATTCTTTCCACCCCCATTTTTGCCACCAAATGGCATTCCAAACCAACCGCCCTTCTTGCCCTTCGTCTTGCCTTTGTTCTTCCCTTTGCCCTTTTTGACCAAACTGAACTTGATCCGCTTCCATTGGGGTGCTCGAAGAAGATGGGTTCTGCAGCTGCTGAAGGTTACGCAAGAATTCATCTCCACTCCAAGCCTTGGTGTTCTTGTCCAGGAGGATCAACTTCTCCTTCAGCTTGGAGTCCGTGATGTCATCCTCCATGACCATCTCTAAATTGCGCCTTGTAGGGGCATCAATGCACCTCAGCACCGTGCTAACTGCAAGGTCATCTGGCATCCTTGCACCTGAAGCCAATTCATATTGATCCAGCAAGGAGTCGAAGTTGAGTAAGTTCTCCAGCATGGTGCGCTGATTGGGAAATCCAGGGTGCTGCATCATTGCTTGACTAATTGCCAAGGCTTGAGACGATGCCAAACAGCAAAACAGATAGTAAAACCATTGCGCTCATTTGAGAAAGCTCGAATCACCTGGAAAGCAGGACCACGTAGATTCAAGGCCAAGATGGAGTAAAGTTTTGTCCCCAACTCCTGGATGTCAGGTTCCAGTGAATGCATGGGCTCCACCGCGTCGAGGTTCTCCACGTCCTTGATGAGGTCACCATAGCGTCCATCACAAAAAACCAGCCAGTTCATGAATTGCTCTCTCCACAAACTGCATCTCACCGGGTCATCTGTGTATTTGAGGACACGTTCACCATCGCCAAATCTTTGGCCACCACCTTTTCCAGTCTGAAAGCTCTGCATCATAGTGTGTGCAGCCTGAGCAGCTGTTGTTGCAGCTTGAGAAAGATCAACAATCCTTGTCACAAGCTCATTTGCCTGCTCAGCATTCATACCATTGGCCTGGGACGGCATGGTCAGCATGAGGAGTCCTTTGAACCGTAGCTTGGACTCCCAGCGCTGTCTCAATCCACCATTCCAGCGTAGGCCAATCCTTCGAGGGTTCAAGTGGCTCACCAATTTCAAGTTCTTTGTCCTTCTTCTTCTCGACCACCACCAGCATGACATGCAAAGAGAGAGCGCAATGCAGCATGAAGTCAAAGGGTAGGAGGACAAACATGTTAAACACAGCCGTGAAGCTGAAGCACATGAAGAAGCCTTCCATGAAAATGCACAGAAAATAGAGCTCATCAATGTCTCATGCACTGAGGCCACCAGCAAGAGCGTTTGAAATCGCCGGTAGCAGGCTCCAATCCTGCCCAAACTTCCATGGGAAGGGTTCCAATCCTCTTCCAACCATGTCTCATGAGAGACCATTCCATTCTGAAGGCCACCGGCCACAGTTACCGTGGTTCCAATCCACGTATCATTGCAACTTGCCAGGCATGAAGTTTCATCCATACCAGTGTAGAGCTCGAATCCAAAACCAGCATACATCTTGGCAAAGTTGAGGGTGACATAGTCCACGCTGTAGCCACCAAAACCACCATGTAGGCTTCCATTCTGCGTCGCATTGGGCTCTGTCTCGCAATGGGGTGTTGGGTAACAATCCCAAGTCTTGACATAGAGGTCACCAGCCATTGCCTCGAATTCATGATGATGATCTGCTCCTTCACATCCAAGCCCAAACCAAAGCGCCACCACCATCGCAAAGGTCACCATGGAGCATTTCGACAGCTCCGCTGCCATGTTAAGCAAACGGAGTGCAAGTGCGGTACGTTTTGACATCGTGGGTTGAGCCACTGAAGTAAAGATTGCAGTCATCCATGTCTGACTGTACATGCGTGACATGAAACTGTCGAAATGTTGTAACAGAACCATGCTAGAATCATTTGACAAGTCATTTCAGTTGTCTTCGAAGACTCGCGATCTCTTCCAAGACTCGCTGAAGCTCGCGTTGCGCTGCAGTTCTCCGCACGGAAGCGGTCCACAGCGGAGCCTTCAAGGCCCTGGAGCCGAAGGGCCCCGCCTGCCGGCGTTTGGTCTCGAAAAATGTCCGAAAGATGTCAACATGTCAATATGTCGACATCATTCAACAGTATACAACGGTCATATATAGTCTATATGGTCATGGGTCCATTCAATTCAACATATATAGCAATATCGTAAGTTAGATCGCAAATTATGTAAATAGACCTGAGAAGGGGGGAACGAAAGCCAGCTCTAATAATGAAAACCCCCGCGCACAGCAAATTGCCTGACCTTCAACATTGAAATCCTCCAGTTGTAGCCTAGCCCCTAACTGCACAGAAAGTTTTGAGGCAAACATCCTGAAACTCTGTTGGTGGCTTACGTATCTTCAGTCTCTCGAGCAATATATGTTTCTCCATCTACTTGTTTCACTGGCCAGAAACCGGACTGGGGGAACAGATACCCTATTGCAGCAAACTTCCTGAACTTCCTGCGCGTGATACCTTCAAAATTGGAGTTCTTCTGTTGGAGCAAGCCGATAAGCATAACGACTGAGAGCATTAAACTTCCTGCGCGGAACACCTTCTAAATTGGAGGTCTCTAGCTGCAGCAAACCCGCAAGCATCA